TTTAAGGACAGTTATCTACTCTTATTAATACAGTGTCCCTTGTAAAATTTCCTTCATAATTTTAAAGAAGGTAATCATTCCACTTTCAATTTTGGTAAAAGAAAAAAAGGCTCCTTGTGGTCAAGCTTTATATGGTTATTAGTTCTTTATTGTTCTTCACAGGACCACTCCGTGCATCTTCTCTGACCACTGCAACCATTGTAACACACTTCAAGATATCCCTTTTTGCTCTTTATAAACCTTGACCAGTTTCTCTATTTTAAGACTAGTGACAAACATCCCCAATCCTTGCCTTTTGAAATTCCCTTCGATTGAATAATTTCAATGCCTTTATTTTCAGATAATAATTCCATTCCAAAGTGAAGTGAGGGATAAAATAGAATCAGTAAGTAGATGAGATGTACAGGACAAAATTCATCAATTCCTTCTTGGAGAATTTGAGATTATGCTTAGTGGAGTGAATGTAATTGTTCATTTCTAAAGCAGATCTGCAGAAGTACTTCGTGTTTCCTGACCACTATTCTCAAACACTTCATAAGTTGCTCCAGTACCAAATATACCTATCATTGTGTTGCCTCTATTCGTGTCCTTACAGTGTCAAGATGCTCAATTAAGAAAGTAAATTAAATACTCTAAGTGAATTCCTTTGGTGCAACTAACTTTCTTGATTCTTGAAGTCTTTAATGACTTTTTATTTTAATTTTCTACTTTTCACTTCACTACAACATCCTGCCTATTCCTCTGCTTCCTTAGATTTGCCTTTTCTGTATCCAGGCCACCATTCTCCATCTCTTATCACCTCTCACATGTGGATTATGACAGTAACATCCCAATTAGTCTCCCTGCCACAATTTTCTCTCCCTCTTTAATTCTTCCTGCATCTGCTACCACATGAATATTCCAGCACCTCTCCTAGCCTTATTTCTTATTATGCCCTCACAGAAATTTCTGCTCTTGCTAGCCAAATATGCTTGTTATCAGCTAAATGGGATTTGCTTATTTTTCCCCTCAATTTTCACATGTGTTATTCTTGGGAATAACTGCACCTGGGAAACTGTCTTTCCTCATCACTGTTCTTTCTATACTAAACTCATCTCTTGCTCAATTTGGGACTGAATCATCCCACCTCACTTACCTACTATGCATGTAAAATGTTAATTCTCTTCCACTGGAATGTGTTTGGCAAATAATCCTTTCTTCATGCATATGATGGATAAACTATTTGAAAATAGTGATTTCAATTAATAAATATTTCTATTATATTTTATGTAATGGACAGTAAACAGTGGGCATTCAGTATTCATGATTGACTTTAGAATTATCTGTAGAAAATGTTATCAAACAGTAGTGAATATTTGAGAAAACACGTTTAGATGGGTGCAAGTCATTTTACAAGTTCTGATCTCATAGTAATACAATAGAATGCTAAATAACCTTATTAAGTTGTTTATGGCTGATTTCAGTTCTAAAAAGTTAAGTTTTATATGTAAAAGTTTGAAGCTAGTGATTATTGTTTATTAGACAACCCCATACATTCATCAAAAAACCTTAATATTCAACAGTGTAACCTCCTATCAGATATCTTAGAACAAAAATATATGAGTAATAGAGAAATTTGAGCCAGAAAATTTTCAACATGAAATTCTCTCCCAGAAAAGAAACAACAATTGTGAGTGTTCAAATTTAACTGGTCACTATGAAACTATGTTCTGTCTTAATTTCATTCTGGTTTTATCAGTTCACTATCTCACCTTGGTAAATGAATAAGAGGAGCAAAAAGATTTATATGTACAATTTTCAAGTTATTTCCCATGGTCATTATTTAATTTCCTAGAAAACACTTGGTGAAAACCAACCAATATATTTAAAAATAAAATACCAAAGGGCAGTAAATGCTTGAAACTAGTGGTGCTATATTCTTGTAAGCCTTTCAGTCACCAAGCGGGTCAGATAGTCTCCTCTTTTTTGCCAGAATTTGATTCTTTCACACACCTGCCATTTCTCAACTTGTTACAGACATAATCCATATGATAGTTATTATTTCCATGTCCTCTTAAAACTCCTCTATAAACTTCTCTTTCATAACTGAACCGTTTCTCCTCTCATTGCAGTTTGTTTTCCTACTTGTAAGACCCACAATATTAGCTACCAATATACACACAAAATATCAACCTTTCACGTGATACTATCTTGGGCTCAAACCTTACCCAAAGCCCACAGGTGTCTGTACCCATTTTTTTTTTTAAATCAGAGTGATTGAAGGCAGAACATATTTGGATCTAATTTACTTAAGGCTTAGAGAAGGCGAGGAGAGATATCTTCTTACCTCTTTTCAGGAACCATCCAGCTACTTTTCAGGATCTTCAGAGTTAGATTGGAGCCCACTGATTACCAAAACTGCCAGATTTTGTATTTTACTGAATTAAACTCATGTACATGTTGACCATTTCCTGAACATTGTTTATTCTTATGTAGCATTCATTTCTTATATATCTAATTGGTTATTTTTGCATTTCTCATTTGTCTCATAATTTCTGACATTATCAGAACTTTTTTTACTTCAAAATAGCCTCAATTTTTAAAAGTGTATACACTGTTGATAGATGGGCTAAATAAATTTGCTATGAACGTATGAGAGCTAATTACACTAGCATTTTTCTAAATTTTTAATTCCGTTTCAGTAAATAAGTGAGAAGACATTTTTCCTACTGTGTAAGCAACTGGAGGAATATATTATGTTCTAGACTAAATGCTTATTATACTCTAAGAGTTATATCTTTTTAAAATCTCAGATGAAAATCAAATTTTGAATTGCCATCTAGAAATAAATTTTTATAGATAGTGTACACATTGGTTCCTGAAAATGGTAGAAAAGGTTTCTTGTCAAGTTCCCCAGCACAAGTGTGAATGCTCTGTTTTTGAGTACTTACTAGTAGTGAAAGGACACATTGTGGCCAGCCAACTCAAATTGCTACCCACGTTTAATCATTGTAAATAAAGGAAGCAGAGAGACCCATGTTATATTTTCAGAACTGGCATGCTCAATACAGAACTATTAGTTTAAAAATACCACTGAACATTCTATTTGAATTAATCTAGGCTTCTGTGAAAAACAAAATAATAAAAAGTATAATTGGTCACTTAAACATGTACTATTCATTTCATGCAGGTTATTAACTTAGTAATTATACATATCATTAAAAAACAATGAGAGTAAATACAACTCCTTAACACTTGGAAAACAGTTCAGAATTGATAAATTTCCATTTTAAAATACTTATTTTTTTTACACAAGCAAAATCACCTTTCTCAGTGGAAACAATACATCTATGAAACATCTATATATGTTGAACAGAACTTTTCAAAGGAGCAACTAACTGTCCCAATGTGAAATGAACATGTATCACTGCTAATCTTTTACATATTGTTGGTGCATACTGCATTTTCTAAGTAGCTGGATATAGAAAAGCAATGGAGAAACAAGTGCTGTAAACAAAACCCATGGATCACAGAGAATCAATATTGTAAAGAGGTTGAAGAAAATGAAAACATATTATCTAATATTCTCTTAGACATTTGAGTTTCACATTTACAAGAGCTGGGCAAATTCTTAATCTTTACACACTGTGTGCATCTGTCCTCATTATATTTGTCCAAAAACATGATTTATGAACCATTTGCAAAATAGCAGAATCAACCTTGATTAAAATTTGGCCTCCACAGGCATTTTGGTTAAGAACACACCAAAACTGATTAATTGGAAAGAACACAAAGTAGTAATCCAGAATAAATACTAGAATAGGGGCACATTCCTTACAGTAAATTTATAATATTTTAGATCATTTACAGGGATTTTCTGGTATGGTACAGTCATAGTCATAATGTGAGGGTGGAGAAGTTTAGTCTATATAAAATATACTCTTTGAAGCACCAGGAATGGAGATACTTCTGCAGGAACCTTGTACACATGGCCGAGCATATATTATGTATGTACAGAATAGTCTGTTTCACAACTACATTTCAGATGAGAATCACTGCAATTGCTGCTCTCCCACTAGAACACTTGAAACATTTGGCATTTATCTGTGAATATTGTTGTTTTATTTCTTTTCTACTGCTGACACTTGCAGTCAATATTTATTTAAATTCAAATTCCAATGATGCTGTTAAAAAAAAGTAGGAAAATGCTCATATCTTCATATAAAGCAGGTCAAGATAGCATTTGGAAAAATATCCAAATGTGATTTGTTAGTAAACAATAAAATGTGCATCTTAAAATATGTTTTCAAGTTTGTAAAACTTTTGAAATAGGCTAGAAAGCCATAAGAGTTCTTCAAAATCATCTTCAAAGAACTAGCAGCCTGTCTATTCATTTGCATAAGAATGCATATTGTTTGCCTTCATACCAGTTTGCCTACAGAAGATGTGCTTGCCTATGCAACAATGAGCTGTCATATTAGCTGCTGATTTAGTCTACAGAAGTTGTCCATTATGTTGAAGAACTTCCAAACATTTCAATCCCATTTTTTCTTATCTGATCTTCCACTACATACAATCTTCTAATTGGGGTGCTTCAAGACTTCTTTCTTGATAACTTCTGATTTTTCAGTTATTCTGTAGAAGTTTTCTTTCCCCTTTATACTTAGTTCAGAATTTTCAAATTCAATTAAAGTCCTTAAGTTTTCCTTATTTCAAATACCATGTTAATCTGAAATATACATAAATATGGGGAAGATACTTCATCTACTAAGTTTACAGTCCAAATGGTATCATAAAACCTACTTTAAAACAAGAAGATTTTTATATTTTTATTTTCAGGAAGAAATCAAAACTACACATTGAAACAAGGTACTATACTACAAAAGCAGGTCCTTCTTTCCCCTCACTATTCTGGAAATGTAAACACAAATATTAAGTACAAAAAGGATTCTGTGCCTTCCACTGTGAACACTTTTTCAGCACCTCAGTGTTATTAGGTGTATTTTATGCTTGGCATAGCAGAAATTCTGTATGTTCACATAGCTGTTCAGAGGATGTAGAGTTTTCACTACCAAATATCACTGGTGAAGCTAAGCTCTTTGGATGATAAAGGTAGCAAGGAATTGTTTCTATGAAATTCCTGGGTATCTTTCAGGGCATTATTAAGGGGTAGCTGTCCATTGAGGAACGTAAGAGGCAGGTTGCAGTAAGTGTGTTCGTTGCCTAAGGAAGGTACTGGTAAGGTGGTGGTTGGCATCTCGTGTTTGTACCCTCTGCAACAGTGTCTCATTTGCATTGAATCTGAAGGGTGGAAATCAGGGAGATCAGCTTGAGATGACACCAGAGAAGCCGAGGTACTGGTCATGGCAATAGAGGGAATAGGCTGGAGTTCTCCAAAAAGTCCTTGTTCTGCAGAGTCCAGAACATGGCACCGAGAAAGCATTTCTTTTTTCTTGTTGGGCATTTCATATACTAATTGCTTCCAAAACTTAGAATTTAATTTGCTGCTTTTGGGTCCCTTCCACTTGATTAGGGACAGAAGTTGGATGTTGCGCTTTAGTGATTCCACTTCCTGGCAATTCACCTTTCCTCTTAATTCTGTACACTCAATCAAAATCACTTTGATTTCTCCACTGACTAGTATGTTATGGAGCCTGCTTTCCAATTCAAAAATATTCCATCCTCGTCTGAGAACATAGTCTGGAGTTAGCACAATAATAAGTCTTCTGCTTTGCTCAACACATCTTATGAGATCTTCAATGTATGCTAAAAATCACAGAAAGAGAGAAAGAGTAAAACAAAGACATTTCCAGTCTTTAAAGCATTAGGTTTGCACTCTAATATAGCAAAAAGCCAGGCTTCCGCTAAGGTACGTCACATTTTCTTTTCTTGTATAGCACATTTAGAAAGTCCGTTTCCTTGAAAATAACAATGGGAAAAAAAACCCTCTGCTTATAATACTTATTTTCTTTCCCCTCATCATTACTTACAGTGTACTGTTAACTAATAAAAGCTCTGACTTCTCTAGAGCTTAGTTGTATTTAAGTTATTTTTATTTATTTAATCAATCATTTATTTCAAGGCTTACAGGTTAGTACTTGAGGTGAACAAGTAATCATCATATTGATGAAAAGAGAAATGGAGCTGTTTAATGAATGAAGGGTCACTGTGTTTATGGGTTGGATTTGGCTTCTACTCTAGTTTTAAACTGCTAAACAATTGGGGGGTTATGTGTATGAACTACTTCAAAGATAATTGTGACAGAAATAGTTGAAAATCTCTTCTGGAATCATAGCTATGTTTCTCAGAATACCTTTTGTTATCTGCAATCTCATGTTCCTGATTTTGCCCTTCAAACTTAGACATAAGGAAGTGGTGTGTGTGTGTGTGTGTGTGTGTGTGTGTGTGTATGCGTGTGTGTGCGTGCACGCATGTGTTCATGTGTGTGTGCGCGCCCATGAATTTAATTTGAACCAGCTGCTCTTTGTTCCAGGGAAGAGGAAGAGGTGAAGTTAGAGGTGGGGGATGGTGCAGAATGAATAGTAAAGTAGGAATCTAACAGTTGAGAAGTCTTTGCCCTACTTTGTGGAATAATTCTGAGAATGAGGTGAATATGTTATAGTCTTTTCATGGTAGAAAAACACTCAATTAATGCTAGATCGATTTATCCCATGGAATAATCCTTTTGTAATCATGCTTCCCAAAGTCTTATCCACCACAAAGGGAAACACACACGTTAACAAATGGAGACTTGGACACAGGTGCGGCAACAGAGAGCTGTCTTTACTAAGCAGAGCACAAGGCTTTGTCTACTGTACAGCGCCCTCTAGCAGAAGCACTGCTTACAAAAGCATAGCAACATTTGTCGCTGCAAATCTGCTCAAGGTTACAGACTGCTTTCAAGGAGTCACGTCTAGTATGTAGTGGGAGGCCACCAAACAACCCAGTGTAAGTCATTTGAAAAGAGAAACTTATTTTACAAATGCATATTTTACAGATATCTCTCTTTTCCATGGTTTTATTTCCACCACTAGGCAGCAAGAACCCTTTCACAAGTGAAAATGAGTAAACTTTATACACAACCTATTAAGAAACAAAAAAATGTTTTTAAGAGATACACATTGAAATTGTCGATTTAACAGTTTGTGGTTACTATTGTTTTTCTTTTTATCTAATACATTTCATGACTTTCTCATGCAGTGGTGTAATGACTATTTATAAGGCTACTTCTAGGTGGAGAGGGAACCTCTTAAGAATTTTAAGAGATTAGGTTTTCTGGGGATAAATCAGCAATCTGTAAAAAAAAGTGAAAGCAAATAAACTGATTAAAAGCAAAATAAAAACACCACACAAGAAGCAATGGGGAAGTTATCACTCTGTAATTATCACTTAAGCGAACTGCTGAAACAGAATGGAAGGAAAGGTAGAAAGTTTCAATAGAGTGAAAAAATATTATCCTAATGTATCAACAGTTCTGATTCTTCATTTTCTTCCTTTCTTCCAGCTCCCAAAAAGAAAGAAGTTATGTGGGAAGTTTCATCATTAGAAGTTGGATCTGGAAGATACAGTAAAATAAACTATGATGCATTTTCCCCATTTTTCTTTTCACCTTTCCTCTACACAAAGCAAAACCCAAACCCAGAATTATGGCATAAATGTAGGAGTCCATGAAAATACATTTTTTCCAGGTAAATTATGAGTTAATTGTTAATTTTACAGAGGAAATCTTTACAAAATAATTTACCAACGGGTTATTCTAAGTAGAATTATTCTCTCATTAATTGCAGCTTCTCATTTAATTAAAAAACTGATCTATACAAATATTGTCAGAAGTACATCTGTCAACATAAACTATGCCTCTATGAGTAGCCCTTTTTCTATGTGTTGTGATGTAGCCTAATTTACTTTTAACTATACTTTTAAAATCAAAGGTTATATCTATTTATACATATCTCAACTTAAAAGCATACAACGCATACAACCCAGGTGTCTACAGTCTTAAGAGAAACTGTACACATATATACTAAATAATTTGATTGGGATTCATGGGCTTTGGCTTTTGCTATCCCCTTTTTTGAATGGGGAAAGGAACAGGGTACATTTTTTTCCTCGATTAGTATGGTTCTCCTCCTTCATCTGTCTATTATATTTTGCCATTTGACAGCTAAGCCAAATGCAACATTTAACATTTTGGAAGCTTCTTAGAGATTCATTAGACATAATTTGCATTTGCCCCCAAAAGGAATGACTTTCAGGACAGATCCCACTATGCTCAGCTGTGCAGGGTGTGGGTGTTGAAGGGAACCTTGTATAGAGGGAGTGGTCCCTGTCTCCTGCATACTATACTGGTTGTGCTTATCCTGGCAAAGCCTAGTGGAGAGTTGAGGCAATCATCCAGATAATTCCGGCTGAAAACCTGCTGTGGAAGAAAAAAGGTCTGAATTATCCTGGTTTGCCCTATATATACATTAATCATATGCACTGGAGTCAGTCAGTCAGTACATCAAAAATTTCCCTGGGTAGACACAACCCAAGTGTCCCAAAGAAAATACGAGCCATTTGCTTGGGCCCTGGATTTCGTGTTCCATTTCACTTGGTGAAAAACCAAATGGAAGTTTTCAGATGTGGAGCCCACATTTAACTTCTTGGGATGGTGATCAGTGGCTGGGCAGCAACCTCAATGTTTGAAAGCAGCTGGGGAGGTGCCTCTTAATGTTGCCTGGCTCTAAGGAAAAGAAGGAGAGACTGTGCACTAACATCCATATCCTGGCTCTCTCTCTGTTTTTCTCTCTGTTTTTTTTCTCCACCCCCACCCCTTGCTCCTCTCTACCTCTCTCTTTCTCTCTTTTTCTGTCCTTTCTCCTTCTTGTCCTTTTATCTCCCTCTTTGCTTTCTGGCCCACTTTTATTTCTGCCTTTCCCTCTCTAGCTCTCCCTTCCTTTCTCATCTATCTCCCTTTGCCCCTTCCTTCTTAAGTCTTTTGTTTTTTTCTTTCTCTGTATCATTGAGGGGAAAAAACAGGACCTAACCATCATGGAAAATATAAATAAATTAAAAGAGACCAAACAGGTAGAGTTAACATTTTTTAATTGCTAATTCTTAGCCATGGTGTTGTTGCTGGCTTTTATGCAGCAAGTGCCCCAAATAATTTCCCTCTTACCCCCAGGTTACATGTCTGCATCCAGTGACTGTGAACTGGAGCCTGATCCATTAGGAATATATCTTATTTTTGTATGGTCTGTGAGCAAGGAATAATTTTTTAAGGGTTGTAAAAAAAAAGAATATGATGTAACAGAGACCATATATGACCCACAAAGCCAAAACTATTTACTATCTGGACCTTTACAGAGAAAGTTTTCTGCCCCTGCATTAGAGCCTAATCAGGGTGTTTAGGTTTGGAAAAGTTCCAAATAAACTAAGCAGAAACAGGAATCATGTTGAGACGTTGCTGGTCTATAGCTACTGTAGTCTCTGACAGGCAGTGGTGTTTGCCATGGTAGGGCTGTGGTTTTGTGGGGGACACTTTAGAAACCTTCAGAAACCATTTCAAAAACTTGTTACCACGAAGAGATAATAAGGAAACTTTTAAAAAACTCCCTAGATCCACAGCACACATGAATATTCGTTAAATCTTGCCTTGACTTATCTAGGCAAATTTAGCAACTGACTACCAGGAATCCCTCAAAAGGCTCTTTTTCCACCTAAAAAAATATAAAATATCCCTTAAATAAAATGTCATTAAGTTATTCATTTGCAGAATTTGATTTAAAGTAACTTATGATGACAGAAAAGACTAAAGAGTCCTGGGTCTGATAGCCTTCTGCTTCTCTAGACAAGACTGTAAAACTACACCAAATTATCAGACATGAAACAAAGCTAATTACATTTCATCTATTTGTGATCTTTACAATTGGTAAAGAAAAAAAATCTCCATGAACATAGTTTTGATAGGGGTGTTTAAGTTGGTATAAATTCATTTTTCACATAAGTGCAACTGCAAAGAAACTTTTTTCTTTTGTGTATTTTGGAGTTGACAGAGATTGGAAAATATTGTAGAAAGAAAATACATTGTCACTAGGGCCTCTTTGGGATGTGTACCTATTAGAGAAGTGAAGAAAGGTCAATCTAATAGGAAACAAGGAAAGTGACTACCTAAAACTATTCAAAGGAAAGGAAATTAAATTAAAAAATTCCTTTCAGGGGCAGTGTATAAACCAAAATTACAGTGCATGTAGAAAAGTAAAATTAGATCTACAAAAGTGACTTGAAAATAGGACACTTATTTAAAAATACAAAAAAAAAGTAAACTGAAGAAAGAAATAAAATAAAATAGAAGCAGGAAGAATGGCAGAACAAAGAAATGGGATGCTTCAAATGGGATGTATTTACTTTCCCAAAAGAACTCAGTATTCCCCTAAATCTCAGGCTCTGAATCATATAAGGGTGCAAAAATACCTATATATTTAGCAATTTCCATGAGGTGTTGCTATTGCCGACTAACCATATGATTTATCAAACTAAGCAATTAGCTACTTGTAAATTATCTTTGTATTGACACTCTTACTTTTGTCAGGGTCATTAAAAAAAAAGTTGAAAGACAAATAGCTTGTAGGCAAAGACATGATTTACTATTTTTCCAGGTTCAAATAATAGTAGTTTGATATGCTTAAACCCACAGTTCTGTACATCCCCTATCAGTTAAACAGACAAATCATTAGGGTAAAATAGGATGCATTAACACAGATACTACTTCATTAATTTTTGGC